TCGACAGGTGGCCTTGGTCACGAGATAGCTCTGTCGGTGTAACTCGAGAACACTGGTTCACCTGCTGCAAGGCTGGAGGAGAGAATTTGATTTTGGAGAACGATGCGTAGAAAAGTGTTTGTGACATCAACATTTTAACTAACATCTAAACTGAGAAAAACACTAGTTTAGATTTTGAGGAACGGGTTTTGCAATACATCAATCCTGCGACGAATTTAAGCGTTAAGAAGGGAAATTCTTTCAGTCTTTTGAAGTGATAGACAAAAAGGTTTCACCAACAATTTCTTATGTCAAACAAAATCTTCGCAGCCATTTCAAATTCCCTCGTCAGTCTTTCCATCCAGGAGTCAGCTGTCTACTCCCATGATCCGCTGTCTACTCTGACGGTGTTCGGTGTTCGAGTACAGGCAATCAACAGTGTTATTTCCACATCTGCAGCCGACTCACGTGTCGAGTCTAGACTGTAGACGAACACTGCAGAATCTCGGCCTCTCAGACTTCGCCGAAGGACAATGGTCTCGGACATTCCGCGGGGCTTTCTCTACATATCCCGCCAATTTGCACCGATTACACGTCCTTTTTGCCACCAATATTACGTCATAATACCCGTGTTTTGAAACAGCTGACGGCCTCAGTCACGTTAATTGCTTTAGGTTAGAGGAACTATTGATTCTTTTTCAGCCGGCGCTATGGCTTTGTGGACGTGATATGCGAATACAAGTATTTGATATGGTTGTGACATATATGGAAATCAATTATAGGTAGAAAAAGTAGGCGATTTTTATTCATATACTCCTGCATTCTATACTGAAAAGATCTTTGACTTAGTTTTTTTTTATTCAGTTGAGACTGTATTTTGACGTATTGATTCAGGGTAAACTCTGAATAATTAAAAAAAATTGGTAAGGTAAGGTTTTAAGGTAAGTAAGGTTTTAAGGAGAAAATTCTAAGGAATTACGCTAAAATCTAAAAAATCTCTATTTATTTTAGCTACAAGACGGTGCAACATTTTCTGTACTCATGTTAAGCAAGTTAAACTCAATGAATGACGAATGAAGAATTCAAGTAGGAGTAAACATGTTTCTTTTCAAATGCTAGAGTAAACTATTAAAAAAATCTGACGAGTGACGTTTACAAGGATTCTTCTACATCGACGCGTATGTTGACCGTAAATCGAATCACCGAGAGACTTTAACGCATGGGAACACTGAAGTCGTTTCCAGCGTTGCGGATTCCCGATGAAAGGTTCGCCGATAATGGAATGCAGCCATTAGATCCTTAACTGGAGATTTTCATTAATTTTCGAAATCCCCCCATGTTATTGGAGCCCGGCTGAATACAAAATGCGGCGGAAGGGGGAGAGGACGTGCCGCGACTGCCAAATCCGCGCTTTTTAAAAATAATTGGATGATTGATCCCCCAAAGAAAAAGTTAATGAATCTAACAACGGAGTCAGTAGCTGGCTGAATTATATCTTCATCGGTAATATCTCCAAGCTGATTCGGACTCGAATCACGTCGCGAATGAATAAATATTAGTGGAGACGCAAGACGCAACCTCCCCACAAGTGACTATCAGTGTCTATGGGGTAGTTAAGCTGTGGCTGATGGTGAATGGTAAATAGCGCGGTGTCTTTGATGTGTGCTTCCTGCTTCATTCTGTGCTTTGTTATTTACTGACAATACATCGTGTTTAACAATATTTTAGATGCAATCTGAAGAAGCATTGAAGCGCTGTGAGCACTTTATTGCTCCTCAATATGCTAAAGTGTCATGGAAAAGTAGTGGATCGTGTTACTACTTTTAATACTTTAACCTCAAATGGTGACCATAATGGTAGGTATTTTAGTTGCTTTCTAAATAAATTAATTTTTGATTCACCTGATATTTGATGTTGCACACAGATAAGGAGCGTAAAACGTGGATTAACAACAGTCCGTTAGTAGAAAATAGTATTTGGCTTTGATTCTAAAGTTTTCAAAATTAGTACTTTAAACCTTTTACATTTATACAAGTTTGTTAAAATTATGTTATGTGATAATTGCTGTTTATTGTTCAATATACACAGTAATAATATGTACTGAGCGATTGTTGAAATTAAGAAAAAAGTTTTAAACCAATACTATCCGATATTCGCTGGAAATCAACTAAATTTTCTGAGCATCTTATATGAACTATCGAAACTAATCCACTTAGTGGTAAGATATTTCTGTCGTAAAATGAAGAATAGATCTGTATTACATTTGTCCCATAATCCCGTGCCTCCCCACGATATCTTCGCCACACTTCTGTCTCCTGATGTTACAGTACACGTCCCTCATACATAGAGTTTTGGCGACATCGCGATGGCGCGCGCCGAGGAGACGATCCTCGCGCGGAATACAAAATATCCACAGGCTTTCTTACAAATTCCAACGAGATCCAACTGCCAATTCCGTTATCTGGAGACTTTCCATGCGCAACAATACAGAAACAAAAAGTATCTCAAAATTGTGTAAAACCCCAAATTCAAGTGATACTCTTACCTGCGGCGGCGCCAAGGTTAATGACGACACCTGTAAACTATCCTCTACATCGGTGTGAGTGTCAACTATTCTGAGGTCAATCTCGGGTCACTTTTTACCCGTGTAACCCATATCCTGAGAGCTGCCCGGGCCCACTTCCCTGAAACTCAACCTAGTAACTAGACCCGAAGTTTCCAATCCTCGAAAAATAGTTTTTTCACCGAGGAATTTTTTATCGTGTCGAATTATTGAAATTTAAGCCCGGCGGTCGGTGCGGGGGTTTGGTTTACACTGCGGTTACTATAATGTCGGGCTCCTTGTGCCGCCGTTGCGCAATCGGCTTCAGGTAATTGGGGGGTGAGTAAATATAGGATTTTGACTCTTGATAAGATACTGTGAAGTTTTGCAAAACGTTTCGAGGTGAGGTTGTTAGCGATTTGTCTTTGGTCAATATTGATACAAATGATAAACATAGTGAAAATACTACACCTAGTATCACACTATACATGTAGATAAATATTTCACACATGGCTGTACATTTTAATGTTTTTGTGAAAGCAAAAAGTTGTTTGTGTTGACGAGAGTGTCTTTCATCTACTTTTGAGTATAACTATTTTTGGATGGAACAACAAATGGTACAATCATCAGGTTCCTTATGAATTAAAGTATAATTTAAGTCCACAAGTATCCAAACCATTGAGCGATTCAACTTTTACACATTGTATTGTACAAGTGCAAAATCCGAAATCCTAACCACCTTATAAACTAATATATGTATCAAACAAGAGTGGAAAATTGTTATTAAACTAACTAACTTTAGAGCCCCATCTGCGTCCATAAAACTAAACCTCTTCACGTCTATGGCCTTTTTACACACGCGAACCCCATGAATGGGGCATAAAACCCATCAGCTTCCACCATAAAACAAGAGCGCGACTTAGGGGCTACTTTATATCTCGGTAATTATTAATAAAACGACGTTCTATCGCAGTTTAATAAGATTCCCGCGGCGGCTGCTGCAGTCACGGCTGCCGATTATCTCTGGTTATCTTCAGTAGTTATCTTTATTAATTACGCTCGCTCCGCTCGTATTTCGGACCCGATTGGAAGTGGACGTGTCTCAAACCGGGGAGGAGTCGGGGCTTAATGAAACAAAATATTTTACTTGCGGGAGCTACGTGTTATGGCGTTTGCTTGAAAGTTTCAACGAGGCGGGTTTATTGCTATCGCCTGATTTCGCTCGGTACCGAACGATGTTTCTAAACGGTTTGCTTCTTGTTTGGAAAAGGAACCTCTTGATTGCTTTCTCCTATTTTATTTTCGGATTCCTTATATATTTCTAAGGCAAATGCATTTTTCCATAACCGAACGCTTCAATAGCCATTTACAAAACACGTTGGCTATTCCGTATTGAAATAAAAATACTACAGAAAAATAAGGTCGATAAACACGTCAACCTTGTTCATAACCAAGAAATAAGATAATCCTGTTAAACTATGGGAACAAAGACCCGGGGTCCCAAGAAATGTTTGACGAAGAAACAAGACTTTAGTGATAGTAACTCTTGGTTCAGTTTTACAAGAATGACGAATGCAGCTCAAGAGTTTTTAAAATTTGATCTGCTTCAAGATCATTGTATCCCGATAGAAAATAGAATATGAAAATCAAATAACATACACACAACAGGAATTAGTTTTTGAACGTGATGCTGTAATTGTCTAAACATAACAGTTAACCAAACCATATTAAAATACCAAACTGTCGAACTTAATCACTATGACGCAACCGAGATTCCGAGATCCCATAAATCCTACGGATAAGGGCAGGACACGAAACAAAGACTAATGAATCCGGGTTTTAAATATCCTCACGTCTTCCACTTGGGAATCCACTCAGGGACGGAGGCTCTAATTTAATTCCCGAAGACATTTCAGGGTTTCCTTGCATGGAAGCGTTCATCAGTATGTGGTCTATGTGCGTTTCCTTATCTCCGTCCTTATACAGCTTCTGCCTTCTCTCGTCTCTTGTGTATTTATGGCGCGACACGCGACAGTCTGTCAACGTGACACACGTCGTGGCAGTCCGTCATGCCGAGTTATCGAGGGTGGGAGCACACGTTGAGTTTGGTGTTGTACATTGTATAGCCATATTATTAACATTTTACGAAAATTTTTGAAACATTATTCACCTTGAAAACCTTGAAACAGTCAACCTACGCGATAATCCAGATGAATATGCTGAAGGATTTGATTGACAAACAGGAATCATACCAAGAGTTTTTCTATGTTCTCAAACTTAGGCTCCAAGCAAAAAGAGATTTTACTAATTGAGTGGCCCATATTGGAATCGTCTGAAATAGTAACTGGAAGGAAAAGAGTTATATCTTGAATAGGAATGCTTAGTCTGCAAGATTGCTGTAACCGGCACATCATCAAGTCCTGGAATTTAATTTACATTTTACAATGTTAAAACTAAAGCACACAGAGTACTATCCTACCTTGACGGTCTGAGCCTTCAGTGGCTTGTCCGGATCAGGTATATACTCCATGGTGATTCCGTAGAACTGGCCCTTGTTGATGTACGTCACTCGGTCGTCTTCTCGCCTCTGGTTGGTGGATATCGGAGTCTCCAGGTGGTAGCGGAAACCGTACTGGTTGTACCTGCAACCACACAACCATGGTTATCAGATCGGGTCAAATGAAGCAAGTTCTCTCATAGAAAGAGAGAAAGAGATTCCTAAGAGAAAACAAGCCTGGGAGATTTGGTTATGATTGGGAAGAGGATTATGAGCACCCTGAAACATTTGTCTTCAGAGTTTTGGTCAAAATTTGTGATGGCCATGAAGTTGATTAAGTAAATCAAGAACATTGGTTTCACATAGAGGATTTGAGAAGGATTAAATGCTATAGACGTCATTTATATTAATTTTATCGCGTAAAAGAACCCGAACGATAAAAAAAAACTTGGTGCGGTTCTAATACGAGCGAAATAATTGATTTATTTCAATTAGGAAAGGTGTTCTATTGCACTGTGTGTAAATTAGTTAATGTTTGGACAGTTGTTATTCACAAGCTTGACGTTGCAGTTTAATTATGTTTCCTACATTTTACAAGGGGTCTTTTTGCCTGAGCGTGCCTTTTTCAGCATAATGTACTAGTTCCACCAATAACTAATAGGATCCACCCAGAGCCCAATCTCTTCACCAACCTTATGATTTAAAGGAGATCACTACAGTCACCTGTGTTTGAACCCAGCTGTTTCTACCGGTGTTGAGATAGATACACCCTACACCTAGCCTGACCTTGGGCGTTATCGGCGATTACCCTGTAAAGGTGTGTGGCGGATGTATATCACTACTTTCTCCTCAACTTGTAAATCATCGGCTAATCCCGGGTGTGCAAGGTCTACTTCCTAGGGTCAGATCCGCCTGACCGCAACCCACTTGGCCATCCTCTCGCCCACCCGCTCGTTTTCGGTATTGTTATGGGACTCGTGGATCTCTCCCGGAGGTGTTATGGTGTTGTGGGAGACACTTATGGAAGTGTTATGGGGTTGTAGGTGGAAGAACATTATGGAGGTGTCGAAAGGTGAATTGTTTTACACTGTGATTATCGTATGGTTGTTTACATTTGCGAATACCCAAGGGCTATTTTCGGATGATTTGTATCTCCTTTGCTGTTATGGCTAACGTTCTTGAAAATTTGTTACAAAGAGATTCAGCTGTTAGTTTATCATTGCTATAATTTTGTGCTTATAAACATTGTAAATTAACATATCCAGTTCAACTCTAGCTCAATCCACAAATGAAAAATTGTATTCCTTCATAAATACTTGGTACACATAAGATTTTTTATTGATGAATGATTTCTAAAATGAATCTAAAGAAATTTTAATGTATTTCTTGATTTGTGTTTTTCAACACCATTGGACTATTTACGATTGTTTTTGTATGGGAGTGGTCCAAACCATTGTCTTGTGACTATTTGAGATCGGCCTTTTGTGAGATAGAATCATTAATTGATAGATAGTCCACTAAAACGGCAGCGAATATATGATCGATCACGCTCACAGTCGAGCCAGTAAGAATTCGCTTGAAGACGAACACGACTTGGCTACTACATCAGAAAATGTTTAGCCATTCTATGATTTTAATTTTAAACTAAAATATAGAAATGTTTATCAGTTATAATTGTCTTAAAGAACAATTCCTAAAATTTCTATAGAAACTCGCATTTGAAATCTTTAAACAATAAATCTAACACTTAGTTTCTCGTGTCCTCTCCCCTCCTCAAGTAGTTTCACTGTTGCTTCTGAGCTTCTCAGTGCCGCTTCATTGGGCACAAGTGTTTCGAAATGCGCCGCTGTGAGCCAAGCCACTCCCCAAATTAATTACCAGATGCCCCCACCACCCCCTGCCTACCATTATTTATACCGCTCTTAAGCTTATCTCCTCGACTGCAGAGCGATCTGCCCAGACGCACGGAACAATGAATAATTCCGAGCATGATATTGACCATGCTACTCATGTGGTAAAATTAACTACATAAAGCTGATGAGAAAATTAAAGATACCCTATCACTTCTGAAATGTTTATGAAAAAACCACACACGTATTCTTAAACTACATGCGATGTTAAACCAAATGATACCAACATTCCCATACATTTGACACAAATGCCCCCAAAAAGGGAGTAAAGATACTCTAACTACTGACAGTCCCATTTGAATACTCCTGGTTTTGAAATAAAACAAAACACGTACCCTAAAGTAAACGCATGTCCACTACGCAGTACCAAATGATACCAGCATCCCAGCACGGTCGCCCAAAGCGTATTTATCCGCCCAATTATTTCGGCGCCCCAATATACCCGCCCGGATGCACGTAATGGCGGTCCCATGTACCCTAATGGGCGGTAGATAAAGTCGACGGGCTTCATCAATTCCAATTTCGGATTATTCTCGGCCTCGCGTTTGATAGGCCCGAGTTAGGCGTCGTTTTCTTCGTTTTCGTCGATACGCGTCGTTCTGTTCGTTAAGGCGATCCACGAATCTTACGTTAATTAACAGACTTGTGAGGTCGATGGTGTTGAGCGAATTGAATGCAGTCGAATTCGAAATCAGGTTGGTGTGAAGTTTCCTCAATAAAGGAGAAAGGTGATTTTGTTAGATGAATTTCAACTTGAAACCGTAACATCAATATATAGTGTAGTCACGGTTAATATAGAGATAGGTTTAAGATAGGAGATGTGGTTATACGTCTTCTTAACACGTTTTGATACTATTATATACGTGGATAGACAGATGAATTCCGTAGAAATATGTTGATGAAAAATAATTTTATTGTTACATCCAATTAGTTTTACTTAAATCGTAGAAATATTGTTTTATGTTAATAAGTATTGATCCATAAAAGTGTTAGAGTGGAGTATAAATATAATGAATCAAGAACTACATGTGTATAACATATTTCATATAAAATTAACTTAATAGCCTCGATTTAACAGTCTAAATACATTAAGTACCCGAAGACTTAAACGAGTGGTTTTACTGAAGTCCTATGCCGTTATCTTTGTAAACATAATTGCTAAATAATTTACCTATGGATTTATTTTAGTGAAGTTTAAAAAACATAAAATTAAGTACTAGGCAATATGACGTGTTAAAAAATTGTATCTACCAATAAATAAATACACATAAATTAATTAAGGACATGAAGCCACTTGGAGACCTAAACTAGTGGTATTACCGAAGCCCTATTCCATAAACTTTCTTGATGTAATTTAAAAATACATTTACCTATGGATGCATTCGAAAAAAATGTTAAATTAATTTAAACCCAAAGTGCTTCAAAAATTTCATCGTCCAAAGAAAAAAATACCCTCAAATTATCCAAAGACATGAATTAACCGAAGACTTAAACGAGTGGTTTTACCGAAGCCCTATTCCGTAATCTTTATGAAGATCATTTCAAAATATCGTTCGTTAATTAACCCGCCTGACTTTCCTTTCTGTCCGTTTTATCGTCATCGGCTTCATTATGCAAATCAGTTCTAAATTCGATACAGTTTCACAACCGAACGCTCCTAGTGGATAATGTTGATTCGTTTTCGTGGAGAGATTGGGAAGGTAAGTGCGTACAGTTTAAAGCCACATCGCCAGAATTCTCAGGAGATAAAACTCAATCGTATTTAACTTTTTATTTCGCTTTGTCCAGTCCACCGCCTCCTGAGAGATTTATCGGGTCTTTTGACCGCATCCTCGTCTATTTCCCAGAGACCCGCGAAGAATGTCGGTGTAAAGATGTCACAGATTACCGAGGAATTCGACCACAAGTACATTGTAACTATTTTAGGTGTAAAACGTTTTGGAATCTTAGCATTCAGAATTATGTGGTGGGAATGAGTAATTCAACACATTTAGACGGAAAAACTCAAACAGAAAAAAACTATAAAAAATGTGTTTAGATATAAACCTTTTAAGTTTATTTCACAAAAAATCGTTCAGTAATGTAGGCTTACACCTTGTAATAAATATTGTATTTTAAGTTTCCCATTATACCTACTTTATCATGTATCGTTATCAAATGTAATTTAAATAGGGTTTAACGAGGTGAACATCAAAATTAAATAACAATTCCGACAGACACAATAATAACTCCAACCACAAATAACTAGCATGGACTTTTAGCAAACGATTTACCAAACGTGCAAACCCCTTACATTGATCATTTTTGCTCGTTTACCAAAACCCACAAATACTACCGTAACCAAGATTTGAATAGGTGTAGGAAGAAAAGAATGGTTTCAACATTTAAAAACATTCTGTTACAGTAACTTAATTTCAGAGTTGACAGTCCATCTTTATACGAGATGAAGCAAATAGTTGGCTTATTTTACAGAACTCAGCACACCTTTTGCCGGTGGTTCAATAATCAACATGCTAGATAGAACCTGATATTTATATATAGACAATTTAAGGGACTTACACTTTGGGTATTTGTATTTTGTCAGCGTCGCTTTGCCGCCCAAAGTCGTGCCAGGGGCGAGAGCGGGCGCCGACCGCGGGAGATGCTGAGGAAGAACTCCTCTGGGATCCCTCTAGAAGCGGCGTCCCGCACATCTCTCCGTAGTCGAACGACTGTAGACAAACACGTCACAATATGTAGCAAAACAAATACAACAATCACCACAAAATCTCTCAGATTATAAACTAACAAAATGTGACACAAATGTAAGAGTAGCAGCATGGAATTGTAATAAAAAACGTACAAATGAATTCTACGATTGAAGTAAGGACCGGCTTACAAGAAGTTCAAAACATAAATAACACAAAATTTGTCGACCATAAAACGCTATGACTGGTTGCAGTTTTCATATGTACGTAGGTCGTAGCTATAAGTTATTGCATGCAAGTGTTTTATTGTATCGAGTTAACTAGTCTTAAAAGGATGTTACTGCACAGTAAGTCAAGTTAGTTTTAGGATTTCCCTCTTAGAATCAAGTACAGTAATTAACGCTGGACTAGAAAACAATTGGCAAGAGCACTTTGTCACCAAGAGATATTAAAACTTTCAAATAGGCACAGAACAAGCGTTACCTGTTGTATCGCAGCCTGGTCCCTTGGCGTAATAGCATCAGCGCCGATACCAGAGTCAGGACTAGGCAGGTCCACGGTCAAGCCTGCAGCAGCGATGACTCCTTTGCCGCCGTGGTAGGCGCCCCCGCGGACGTAGCGGTCCATGAGGGAGGCGCTCACGGTGGCGCCGGAGCCCGCACCCTCAGGACTATCTGCGTACGTCTGCCTCACCGTGCCGTAGGGCTGCTCCGAGAAGTACTCCCTGTAGTAGGGGTCCGTGAACGACGACGTCCCTCGGCCAGCGGACGTCGTGACGTAGGCAGAACTACTCTGAGAGACCGAGGTGGAGTACGACGCACCGTGTTCCGAGTACGGGATCGGACTGGGAGTCCCGCTACCCTGAGGTTGCGCGTTGCTCATCGCGGTAAATATGTGGTTGTTGTACATCTCTGACTTGAGCCCGTCACTGGTGATGATCTCTATGGGCGCGTTGTCCCCCGCGATCAGCGAACTCGTGCTGGACGGTGTTCCGTTGATGGATCTACTCCCGTGTTGCGGCGAGTGGACGAACTCGTCCTTGATGGTGGTGTTGTTGTTGTTGACGACGTCGACGACCAGGTCAGGATGTCCGGTGGTGACCAGGACCACCTTGTGACGACCCTTGGGGTCCACCGGGGTCTTGCTGCGGTGGTGGCTCAGGTCCTCGGGCTCCCGCTTGACGTGCGAGGGCTGGTGGTGGTGCAGAAACAGCCCCTGCAGGTCTCCTAGGGGCGGTGCTGACGATAGTTGGAGGGAGGAGTCGCTGACCACGCCGTTGGAGCGGATCTGCGAGGACAGTAGAGATGCGCCTGCTCCACTCGCCGAGGGCGTCCTGTGAAAGAACAAATATTTAGTATTTATTGATTGTACAGATGCTAAATAAAATAAAATATACACTATATCTTTATGACTGCTGTGCCAGAATTACAAAAATATCTTCACAGTCGAAAGCTTAAATTACACATACAAATAATTTACGCTTTGCACATTTTTTATTTAAAATATGGCCATAACCGTAGTTACTTCCAGAAGTGGTACTACTAGACCTAAGTCTGATCCTAGTGACGATTGAATACGTCTCTACAGTATATGCAATTTTGTGAAACTTACAAAACTGCCGAAAAGGAATAACTATTCAGACGCTAATACAGATAACAGATATGTTTTACCAAAATACCATATATACTACTGAAAAAGTATTTTTCTCTAAAACTAATTGAATAGGCTACATCAATAACTACCTAGCAAGGGAACGCAACTTGTATATATAAAATAAAAAAATATAAACTCACATCCATAATCAAATGCATTAAACATCAAATACCAAAAGAAGAGGTCATTGTACTTGCACATTAACACATCAACAACTCGTTACGTTTTTTACACTACGAAAGAATTTAGAATTACAGTAATACAGAACAGCGTTCGAAGCGACAACTGTGACTTGGCTATTATCTGCAAACGTAAAATGTTAAACACGGGCTGTCATTGGGAAATACTTCGACTTAGTTCACTGTGTAATTAACTCAGAGATAATTGCAAGCTAATTGAACCTCGATGATGAGAGGGAATTCGGTAAACAATCAGAGTTTGCCGTTTTCGTTTTGATTTAAATCATGAGTGTTCGTAGTACCGTGTGAAATTCCTATAGACTTTCAAAGAATAAGAAATGCATGGTGATAGGAAAACGATTCGATAAATATGGAGTTGATTAACATTGAAATTACCTTGCGCAGCTTCGAACAGGGATGGAAGCACAGTGGCAAGACAATTGTTGCGCATAAATAACGTTCTCTGTTCAGGGACAAAGCGCGATGGGAGATACAGCGCAAGCACCGCCTCTCGTGGAGAAAAAAATGCGCAATAGCTTCTGTAGCTCGTAGGGGCGCGTAGTAAGACAACTGTAGCCTCTATTCAGAGGTGCAATGTCAAATATTCTATGATAGCCTTAGAATCGTAGCTGTCTGAATCATAGTAGCCGAAGATTTTGGAATCCCGATATTTAGAATTGTAGTGTTCGGAATCACAGCTGTCGGGTTTGTAGAGTCAAAGAATTGTTGAATATCTTATGAAGCCATTCATTCATTTGTTCACTTATTCTCAGCAGAATTGATCATAATTGATTTGAAACTTTCAACGAAAAGTCAATTTGAGGGAGTCACAAAAATGTCAAACTCATAGAATAGTAGTAGTCTAGAATCGTAATTACCAGTTATATGATTCCCCCATGATTTATAATTGACTTGCAACTTCTACAGAAAAAGTCAATTCAAAAGATGTTAGCAGTATTTACTTAAATAGTCAGTCATAATTCAAAAACGTAGGTATTCAGACGAAATTTATGACATACGCAACTCTTTTGTAGAAATAACTATCAACTGGTGGCCAACAAATTGAAATACAAATTTGATTGGTTTAATCATTTGTAGGCATACAATATTTGTTGTTTATTGTTTATTTATTGTTGTCGATTCTTGGTTCTTAATATTGTACAAAACATTAAACACGAAACACGCCGTTCTATAACATCCAAATCAACAATAAATTTCACATTTTCTTTCACATTTCGTCAACAATGTCCCATCTTCTGTCAACATATACTTTGTAGAGTTTATTACACGTTTCATGCTGCTGAGAACATTTCAAAGGACAAAAAGCTAATTGCACCTCATTTTTCAAGAGGTAATCATTTTTAATTGAGCCAAAAAGCTGAGAGACAAGCCTAATTGAAGAGTCACATGTCTCGGTCGTGACTCGCTCTTTTACACAATAGCTCTTCTTGTGATAAGTGACTCACTGAGTCTTTGATATCACAAGCGGACATTAAACTAACTGCCTAGCTAACCGTACTAAGTAATTAAGTGGTTATTACTAACATAAACGTAAAAACTACTCGTAACCAAAAAGTAAAATTAATCTAGATGGTAGACTTCAACGGCCAAGGAAGGCTGTCGAATTTTGGTCATACCCAAAATTCCAACAAAATAAAGGATTTATAATTAACACCAACACACCATAATTGTATTTTGTTTTGATTAATGGAAATAATAATCACTGTACCAAGATTCAACAAAATTAAAATTAGTTGTTTGGAAAGTAGTATAGGAAGTTTAATTAGAAGTAGCTGTTTGCTAACATTATGTTTCATCATTACCCATTATGGAATGGTGATGAAGGATAAAATTAAATTTTCGTTCTTTTCTGTAATTGGTGAAGTTTAGAATTATCAATACGTGATATAGTCAAAAATTGCTATTAAAAACTTGCAACCTCTTGCTGTCAAGTAATTCATACTTCGTTGCAAAAGCCAGTGAAAGACTCAACAGTTAGCAGAACGAAAAAAGACATATTTGTTTTTTTTTTTACGAACTCATAAATCTCGCTTTGTTTTCTCTCACGATTATATGATACAATTAACATTTATAAGATCAAACTTACTTTTGGAATCAAAACCATTTCATACTAAAGCAAAATAATCATTTCTATGATGAGCACTAAGATGAGTTATAACACTGTTATTTAACGTTAGTCTATTAAATGCCCATACGAATCACAGGCTCAACTAGAGCAGTTAACGAATAGACTAATGTTTTTTGGGGCAGGTGATTTTATGAACAATGCCCGTTGTATGCCCCCAGCAATTCCCATCCTATTCTCAAAACTGGTTTTGGGGAGGTGATGTCATTTTGGCCCTTAGCAGCCCCAGCCCCGGGATATGGTTTTAAAATTACCTTTTGATCTCAGGTAGCCGCCATTATGGTATTTTGCAATGTAAAAAACAAATTATCTTATCATTGAATAATCGGATAAGGTTATGGGAGGTTTTATTAGGGTGAAGTTACGAGTTGAATACAAGGGGCGTACGAAACAGAAATGTGTGTTACGTCAACCACATTTAACGGTATAAGAGAAAAGTGGACATTATAAGAGTTAAAGTTGCGAAGAAAACAATTACAGAAAAAAAACTAAGTTGATAAAATGTGACACAATCACTTGGTTATAGAACACGTACATCTGTTTTACATCAATTTCAAGTAGAATCTCTACAAAAGACTACCGATGGAATTTAAAATTTATAACAAAATAACTTTTGTAACCTCTTTCAATTTTGAAATTCACTATCTGAATCGATCGGGTACTATTTGAAAGCATTTTATTTTCAGTACGATTCTATTAAAAGCCTTCAAAATCTACTTTAGATCGACAGAATCCAGTTTTACTTAGAAAAAAAAAGTTATTTTAAAGATTATTTTTCCTAATACCGAACAAACCAATCATGAAGATTGCACAATTTATCACTAAGGAAGGCAGACCGTCGACTTGTATCCTTATTCTTGGGCAATCAGAAAAATATTTATACGATATCTTGGTGATTCCTCAGTCCACGGTCCTTGGAAGGTTTACTGCCAAGAGTGAAATAACGACGACGATTACAGGTGAAGACTTCCTCTACAGTAAACGTTGTATTTGCCGTAATAAACTAGTTTGCTAAGTGTTCATTACTTATTGGAGCTTATCATATGTTGTATATCATTGAGGTTTATATGTTTTATAAATAATGGTGTTATATGTGTAAACAATAATATTGATCAATAACTCTTCTCAAGTGCAAACGTCTCACAATCAAAATAGCGTTTACCTGAATTTACGAGTATTATGAATCTATATCCATAAAACCCTATTATTTATGTGCACATTTAATGTGGATACTGGTAACGGTATCTTCAAGATATCATAGGGTACTTTAGATGAGGAGGTTACTACATGGCCTCTTTTTACATGCTTTAATCCTAAAAAATTTCTCAACTTCAGTACAAATTTTAGGCAAAGAAAAACCTGGGTTTTGTAAATGGTTTCCTAAATATTGGTTTGGGAATTATAGTGGTTTCCCATCAATAAATGGGAATAACAATATTCTAATATTCTGTAAACTCTGTTTTAGGACACCACGTTGTAAGGGTTCAGGTAAAGGTTAACTACATTTTGAAGCATATAGTCCAACGGATATTATTCAAATAATTGAAAATGTTACAAATAGACTGCTAAAATGGTAAAAGTCGACGAACAAGTTTATCATCGTAAAATATCTCAATATTTGCGATTATGGAAATAAAAAAAAATATTGATGGGCTTAAAAACCTCCCCCTAAAAGATTTTCCACTGGCGTAAACATATTATATATTTGGATATTTGATGAAATAGGAACATTCTCAAGACGCAGTAAAGACATCACAGACATCTCCGACGGTGTGATCAGGTGTCAAAATATTGATTTGGGACGAGGTGTGAATCGTTTATTGGGGCGGAAACTGACGGATCGCCTTTCATCCCTATGTCAGTCAAGCGAGGGATTGTAGACTAGGGGATGTTGGATGTACTAGGGTGAGTATGACAACAACATTGTACACCATTGTATGCATTACTGTTCGTCTACAGACATATGCCATCACATGATGGGACTAGAGTGACGATCCTTCATCTCAGTTGGGGAATATTTGGAAAGAAAAATTTGGCGAAACAAAGATTTTAAGATCCCAATCTTTTTGCGTTCTCCTTCTTGATTGGCTATTTCTAACGTTTGTAAGGAAACGGTTTATTCACATAGTTGAACTGTTGTTATGTAGCATAGTTAGTTGAGCCCAATGATAAAAAGCACTGGAATCCAACATTGCTCAAGATTCTTGACCGTTGGATCGAAACAGCAGCCTTTAGATTTGAAGGTGAGCGTTATCTCCACCTGGATAGCCAGATAATTATATCCCAAAGTTAAACGCAGTGTAGCCAATGACATCACACAGTCACTGAATAACATTTATATTGAGTCTGAGAAAACACACACTATTGGATTTTTAACATTACACGTATTGCAAAAAAAATTGAACAACTGGAACAAAGAGCACAAAAACTCAAAATTCCTCTTAAATTTCGACCTCTAGGGTCCTGGATTGGAAGATGTGTTGGTACAATAATGTTCTACTTCAAAACCAAATTCAGTAAAAACTTCACCAAAACTGATCGCATACAAGGTCGTAAACACCCAAGGGATTCAAAATATTTTGAAAGCACAAAAACCATGTTTTCTTTACCGCCACTTCACTCAATTTAACATGGAAATCGAAAAAGGGTTCGAAATCGAATCAAGCTTCCGGAGAGTCAATCCTGTTACGCACAAAACATCCGCAAGCCCGGAAGATGTTATTAAGAAGAAAGCATCCCGTCCTGGACCCCTTTGTCGTAGGGCACCACCTAGGATAATCCTCCATGATACGTGGGGTAGGGCGCCGGGGGGAGGGCTATAAACTCAAAAACTGTGATTGAACCAGAGGCTGCAGCTGCGGCCGAAATGGTTCCATAAAATTATGCACGAAAAATTACAGAAATTACATATAATGCCCATAATGAGCGAATATAATAGCTTCCCCAGCCGAGCACTGTTCGGCCCAGCGTATCCCGTGGGTTTATATCTTACTTATCGAATATAAGAGTGGATAAACTGTTTTATAGCTTATTTATATAGGCTTTTCGGTGGAAATTGCGCCGAACGGTGGCTGATTTCGATGCCATCTCATTAAAAATAATCGCCCCGTTTATCCAGCTCGCTTAAAATAATCTAAGTTTGTTTTGTTTTCCCTCAGCGGCTGTTTAATGTTAATTCTGCCTAAATGGTATGCGTGTACTGAGGAAATTGCTTGTGATATAATTTTGTTAATACACGAAGATTCGATGCAAGGGATCGTGTGGATTTTAATCGGGGATTTTTAATACACTGTACATTAAACGTATGGGAAGAACACTTAATGATATCCAGTAATGCTACTTGTGCATGCAATATTTGATTAGGAACTGAAAAATTTAAAAACTTAGAATTTTCTAATACCACGTTCATATTGCGTACCTTTGATATAAATATCTTTCACTGCATGATTCACATATATTTTTCACGCTCAGTTTTAACACTAAACATTAGGAGTGTTGTATTTCGGATTTCAGTATTATGCAATTAAGGATTTTATGGGTCATATGTCTTATGAAAGTTGGGTGAATCTTGCTTGTTTTGTCATTTGGGATTCGAAATAAAATAAATCGTCTGTAGAAAACTCTGGTTTTTGATTTTGGAGTGTCGCTATTCCAATTTTAGTAGTATAGTTCGGATTTAAAGTAGTGACATTCAGATTTCGGATTGATGATGATCCACTGACGCTGATCCATGAGACGCGAGCAGAGCCTCGTGGGAGATATAGTCTCATGAGGTTCGGCTACGTCTCATATGTCACTGTACGCTCTATATACTATAATACACCCCCTCCCCTCCTCTCTTCACTAACAGAACAGCTGATCGACCAACCGTTGTATAGACTTGAGGGAATACACTGCTAACAAATGATGTTTGACTCTGTGATTTTTCGTAACTATATCATTGGCGTAATTTTAGACTTTTCGCAGGGGAACGGTCCAAACCATGTCTTGTTACCTTTCGTCGTAATTCTTAGCCAGATGATAAGGGATTGAAATATAAAATATCAACTCAGTGTCCTAACTCTACTATAAAATACAAAATAATTAACGTCCAGCGAGAGCTGAGTTGTTTTAAATTTTAAATCAGCGTCTTTAAAAAAACATATTTATTCAACAATAATCAAAGCCTTCACTCATTTTAAAATCATGTACACATTCGTACATGGAATTATGGTTTATTTATACTGAAGGAAACAACAAAACATCAACTGTAGTATAGTAGTGGGAAACGAAAGAAGACGAGATAACTAACATAAAACCTTTTACTGGTTAAAAAGCTTTACTAAAATCATTGTGAATAAAATAGTGTGCTTAATGACAATAAATTGTGTGTTAAGGATATATACTTTAGGTGAAATATTTAGTATTTCTTTACTATTGTTATTAAAAGAGTTATAATTAAATTCATATAGTCAATGAAATAAAACTAAAAATATATTTTTTTTAACGCAAAATCGAGGCCCTTCATTGAATAACTGGATTAGATAGCAAAGCAAGATAACCAAAGGTCCATGACACAAACCCCTATTTCCCACTCAGGCAGTTACATTAGAATAATCTTTATCAACTAGGTACCTAGTTCACGCCTCAAAAACAGAAATAGATCACGGGGTAGATTCCGAGGCCAATGGGGCGGAAGCGAGGGGAGGGTAACTTGTGTTTTGGGGCTCCAACTTTCAAAATATACACAGGCTGATACATGGCCTGAAATGTGCGCCGAACTGGAAACTGAGGAATCGAAATAATAGAGCGGTTATTGTGACGGGGTTGCAGCTATGAAGCGATTATAACGGTCTTGAGGAACTATTGAGGGGCAAATGGGAAATTTCATAGCACTGTATGGCTGATCCGGAGATAGTACGTTATTCAATTTAATGTTCAAGATGTGAAAACGATAGGGTAGTGATTAATTTTTAAATACAACAATCAACACTTTAGACATGTTTGCACATTTCAATGTTTAAGAAAACAATTAATAATAAAGACACTTTTTAATTAAAGTATTTTAAAATGGGGTTATCCTTGAAGGGGTTTCCACGATTTACGTACAAATTATAAAATTGATTTTTGTATTACCTTTCACGTTTTAATCATTTTACGGTGTTTAACTGAAAATTTGATTTTGAGTGGATTTAAGACAAAAAAGCCACGCCTATAAATTGGTATCGAGAGGTGTGGATTTAAAATGTTTAAATTGCAATAATTTGTGAATTGAGACTACAGTACTAAGGGGATTTTTGAAATTAGTGTTCAAGTTTAATCTTGGACAAATGGCTTTCTGTTTAAATTACTGGAATATCAGTACGATGAAGTACGACAAGAAAATACCTACTCACTATGGCTGTGTGCAGAATGTCTTCAAAAAAAGTACATACAAGTAACTCTTACGTCCACCATATAAATATACGTACACCACAGAAGCCACCGCAACATATCTCTTGGTGTAGCTTAAACCAAAACTCTCACCCATAAACAAAAATTTGAATTCCACACTTTCTCGCAATTCTAAAAAAGCTACGTCCCTGATAACCCATTTCACACCTCGCGGTTTCGAATTTCAGTAGGAAGTAGCAGTTAAGAATTAGCACAGGGTGAATTAGCCGGTAAACCAACACCTATATATTAGGCCTGTCAGGCGCTGTGGGAACCGCGCAGTATCATCTGTTACGGGCTTTTTTATGTCGTCATCAAATCCGGGGTCGGAATGCCACAAGATCGCATCTTCGGTCCTTCTCTTTTCTCCGTCGTCGTCCTGGATATTCTGATAAACTTTATAGGTGATAAATCCATCTGTGTATGACGTCTGAGGTTGATGAAAAGAATCGTTAGGTGAAGAATTCATGGGTGGAATGTAAAAGTTGAAGTTTTACAACTTTGGTAGACCGTTGACATAAACGTGTACTTGGGTTGTAAAGTTCATTATTTAGAAGGATAATTATTTAAATTTTAAAGTTAAAATGGTTGACCTATCGCTAAAGATGTTTTTGAAATACTTAGAGACAGGAAAAGTCCATCAATTTTAGTCATTAATCAAAATAAATGTTTGATTGCAAGTAAGTGATCGAGTAGAGGGTATCAATTGCCACTATTAGGGTATTAATGATTAATGCCTCTTTAATATGTCATTGCCAATGTTCAAGTAAGACAGAATTGTTGTGATTTTCAACAATAAATGATTGGATTAATTGAAATTATCATCGGAAATGTCCAGATGGATGAACAATATTAATTTAGGAATTCCCAAAGAATAATTCACATGTAAGGAATGTGTGATTCAAAGTTGTACAACTTGACCAGTAAAAGGTTAACATAAAACGAGTGATTTAGTGAGAGTATCTTGAGTATCATTAGTTATGATTGATGTTTAAGCAAGATGGAAATCCCTTGTTACTGGGATGGCCGACATGAACGATTTGATTTGTTAATTAAAATGTACGCTGGGTTTGCCCCTAAGAAAATATTCATTTAGGAATTTCCCAACTGCTTTGATAAACATGGAGTATTCTACGGTGTGTTCTATGATAGACGTACTCATAACGGTGTAATGCAAATACCCGTCTCTACAATAGAAGGGCGATTACTCCATAGTAATCCTCGTGTGCGGAATATAGTTATTACTCCGGCAACAATTCCGCAGATCATGATTTATGCGGAGAACCTCACGATGCGATTTATTGGCGCGAAATCCTTGGTTTTCCGCGGGAAACGCGGCGGGATCACGCGTCGGCCCGGCGCTATTCGATGTACCGACAATTAAAATAATTGCGATCATTACGGAACGTATGTTGCAATCTGTGTATGACAGCGACTTCATCGAACGATGGTGTAATCTGCAAGACTGTTTACATTGTCGGGTGTTTCCTGGATTTGTTGATTGTCTGATCCAACAGGTTGTTGGAAGAGTTGATGGATCAATTACTGGATGTTTCTTCAGTCATATGGGAAAGGTGAAAAGGTCTTCGCGTTGCAGGAGAGCTTTGATTAGAGATTGTTCTGGGGTTTTAACGAAGGTGAATTTAACAGGGATTTACTGAGAAATATTTAGGAAGATTAACATGTTACCGAAACTTACGAAATATCAATTTCACTATCCTTTCATACTCCTCACTTGTGTTAAAAAGCTTTAGTAGCTATTTTTCTAAGTACATGTTTGATAAGTTACTTCTAAAGATGAAAAATTGAGATTAATCGTGACCTATACCTGTTGATTCTAAAGTCATACTCAACCTTAAGATGAATTCGTTTTCGGTTTAGTATTACAATAAATAAATTATTTAGTCAAATCAGAATATTTCCACTTACGACCAGATCTCCGAGAGTTTCTCCTTGTCCGACAGTTGAGGCAGTTTGTAGTACTCGTAGATGAAGCCCATGGACGTGGGAGGTTGTTCTTCAGAAGGACCCCCGCTGATGTTCAGCATGGCAGTGGTCGCCGCAGTCAAGGGGTGTTCGTAGTAAGCTCTCCAGCTTCCCTCCTCACCCCCCGGACCTCCTGGCTCACCCTCTGCCATCCGCACCTCCTCACCTTCCTTCCGCTTCCTGCAACAACGAGAGATCGTCAGTCAAGACATCATTGGAGAAGGCGTTGGAAAAAAGGAAAAGATCTGAAGACATAGGTAGATAATGCCAGAGCATTGTTGGTGGGTTAGGTGAAGATATGACAATGGTCAAGAAATAGTTTGTTTCACAACAGTTTACAAATAAACATAAAGTACAACCTGAGTGATCAAATTGTTCTAAAGAGTTGGCCTAATTGAGGGAAATCAATGCAAGCTATGATCTTGTAGACATTTCAACTTTACTAAATCATTTATATGCAATAATTGTAAAACGTTTTACCATAAAAGTCCCTATGACAGCTATACAACTTCAATGTGAAAATTTTGCGAAAGAGGATACAAAATTCCACAACCCTTCAGATCAGAGAATGATGAAGGTTTTTAAAGAGTTAGTCCAGGTGAGGGAAGAACAAACTGCGATTTCTTAGAGTATTTACACATTCCTAAATCTTAAAAAAATCCTTCATTGTAAAACGTTAACCATCAGAGTTCCATTGAAATATGTAACATTTCAACAACAAAGTCCCTTTGAAAGTTCAACATTCTCAACGTGCAAGTTTCGCAAAAGAGGAAAAGGAATTCCATAACCCTTCATACTCGTAACGGGGCAGGGGCCACGGTCCACCGTGACATTTCAAATTACCTTCGACAACCGGAGGTTTCACGGGGTAGAATCGATTTGTGACACCACTTACCGGCACGTCCACACCGCCTAGCCACGTGCAGAAGTGGCAAATGATAGAGAGGCGATAATGGAGGTGACAATAGGCAGAGTTGGAAACTTCGTGACCATCGCGTCGTCCGATCTGGCGGTCCGATCAGCTGTCAGCGGCTACAGCTGATGGATGTCACTGGATATTCATTAATCTGCCGTGATATACTCATCGATCTTACAGCGTGTCCCCTAATTAGAGTGATTGGATGCAGATTCCATTGGAGTTATCAATCAGAATCGACTGAAATTGATTATGGCTCTGCGGACCGTTTGGAGGGATTTATAGGGGGGAGTTATCTTCAAGCATGATTGTGCGTTATTTTAAACTTTAATATACACTGTATATTGTCTAGATTAGTAATTGTCAATGAAACATCATGATTTTAAACAGTTATTTTTGGACATTGGACAATTTTTGAGAAAAATTTATACCTTTTCTAAACTGACTGAAAAATTTCTATATAAAATGCAACCATTGCAGAATGCATTGTTAAGGAAGATAATATTACAGTATTTCACCCAGCTATTCATTGTTATAAAAGATCCCCTGTAAAATTATTATAAGCAACCAATAGTTGTAAATAAATGTATACACGAGAAGACACTAATCCTTCCAATCCTTAAAACATAACTGTAATAAAAATGACTAGCACATCAATGAGTACAATCGTTACAAATTAGAACCCTATGAGTAACCGTATCTAACGCGCTTTGCAGCATACAACCGTACGACACGACCGTGCAGCTACGCGCATTCCGCAGCATTACCGTGGAAGTGCTACATTGTAGTAATTAATGGTCGAATAGATTCCGGGCTGCACAATTGCATTTCCCATTTTGCAATTGGCGAGGTTCAATACAGTCGGGGTCAAGGGTCAACGCATCCTAGATTGCCGTACGTGAGCCAATATACACAACAATACGTACGTTTCTCGCCTCCGCCGCACGTACGTACGTACAGCTGTTATCTAGCGGTAGGATTACGTGGATCGCATCTTCCACGGTTTCCACGTATTATCCGATAATTCGCTTGATTCCCGGGAGAATGGAGGTACTGTAAATGGAAAGTGTCTTATTTTCTTCCTGGAGATCGGGATGGCGATTTCAAGGAATGCGATACGTCGAAAGTACAACTAACTAAAGAAATGCCAAAATACATTAAACATTGTTAAGATGTGGTAAGTGTAATCCAAAAGTTTTACTCAAAATATTATAATCTTGCAGATTTGAGAGGAATTTAAAATATGTCTGTAAAAAAGTACCTAGTTGAAGAAAATCCCTAACCATCAGATATAATCTATAGATCTGGTAAGTGTCAACAAGTCCTGGTCGTAACAAGAATCTAACAAAATACTTTTGGGCTCAGAATCAGCCGGATCGATTTTCCTTGGCGACGAAGTCGGCATTGTTAAACAGTGATGGTTCATTAAACATAATCTCGCCACAAACAAAGTGTAGCAGACAAAGAGCGATTGAATAAAATAAAGCAATACAAATACAATGTAGATCGTCGGTTAATTGAATCAACCTTGAGCCGAGTGTAAACCGCTCGAGTGGTGCAGTGATGAGATCTTCGTGGAGACCTCAACGCGCGGTATCACTGAGTGCGGTCACGAAATATTTTAATACACCACGCCCTTTGAATAGCTACGTGCTGGGTAGGAATACTTTGGGTTCTTGGGCTCGACACGTTTCTTTAAGATTGCAGAATAGTTATAATTCTAGGTAATGTTTGAAAACAGTTAATGGGAAGTGGGGTTAAGTGCGAGAAGTAGAATACCTATTTTGTTAGCTAGTGGTCCGTTAGAATTATCATCCTAAAAAAGAACCGCATACAAATTTTGGTTCTAAGCACAAACCCTCTGAATAAAGCTGAATATGTTTGAATTACCTGTAAAGCCAGAATGATAAATGATAATTTCAGAAGGGTTCTATTAAAAAATAAGGTGAATTTTGTCATCATCGTTAAGACGCTTGAAAGTATAAATCATTTCAATCAAACTTGTAGACGAATGCATTTAGTACACTAACACAATATGAAAAACTAAAGCAGCTGTACGCATTGAAGAAATTTGGTACTTCACGATTAAATATACTTTATAGTTTATGTATAAAAAATTCTTCTACGATTTTCCACACATCAAACCTACCCTAATCTAATATCTGGCTCATTCAAATCCTGTATCCTCCTCGTGAATCACTGCATACAATCTTTTTCTCGTTCCAATCAGCGTTTTATGTTAGAAAGCCTGTCCCACTTGCCGTACGACCTTGCATTTTAATCCGAGACATTCCATTTGCATGGCTTGGTCCGCCTCTTTCGGTTTTCGTCCAGAATAGTTTATAAATATTCATGCAACATTGGCTGATGGACGATAGACGCTATAACAGTCTTATCCTATATCCTAGAACACTTACGTCTGGCGTTACTAAGATTGATTGATTGACAAGTTAATACTCTACGAAAATGGAAAAGGGAATGTCAGTTTAATTCTGATTAGCATATGTATGGAGCTTACATTATCTTGATGGGTGCTACATTATTTTTCGCTTAGTAGTTTAGGGAGATTTGCTGGCGATCGAGATGTGACTGCTTGAAAGTTTAAGCTCTGTTGATGTTTGGAAAATCAAATCTTTGATTATGTCAATGTCACAAAAAGATTGACTTGGTGACTTGTGTTTGAATTTCGGCTATAAGTCTCAAAGTGCCTTTCTTGTTCAAGCTATCAAATCAAAATCTCAAGAACTACATCATACTCACATTAAAAAGTCAGAAAGAGAAATCACATTGTCAGACTATGATGGAAGGCAACAGAGACATCACAGCCACCTCATTCCATGACGGATGCTTCAGATTTTTCAAACCCCAAATTGAAACACGACACCTGGTCGGGTCTTTTTTTATCTCCAAGCAATCTACAGATCAAACATCCCCGAATTTGCATGACACCCTTAGATTGATAGGGCTGCAAGTGGCCGTTCAGGCGATACTTTGTCATCTCCTCTCTCCCCACGTCTTCCCCTGTTCCCTTTCTATTTGCTAATGACTTGTGCAAATCGAAACTTCACGCTCTTATTTCAAGCAGAGAAGAAACGATTTTTCACACAGTATGAACGGCATTCTTTCCAAATGACCTTGTTAGTTTTGAATCATCTCTGTAGTTTTTCTTTTTCCGATTCCAAATGTTTTCCTTCGTCTATTTTATTGGCAAACGTTTCTGGAAATATGTTCAACTATCATAGTCTTTTCTTTCGTAGCTAGCCATACTATCCCTTGTTCAAAGTTTTTCATTACTCCTTGTCATATTTCTAGTTTTTCAAGATAAATCAAACGTTCATCTTAGCACAACGCCGGGCCGCTATAGAAGCTAGTTGCTATTCTGCCCACTTCACACTGTGGTACTCAGTCTAGATTTATTCATCAGTTGATCTTTCATCGCGTGCGCGGGCTACGTGCTGCGTTGTCGCGTCCACCGACCTACGTGCAGACTACTGTCCGTGTCCCTGTAATGACCTCTCACCCCGTTGACCTCTGAGTCTAGGGCACTGATACACTTGTACGTTAACACACTTTCTAAACTGTTACACGTGGCGGTAAACACGTGTAATGATCCAAACTTTTCATTTTTAAAGTCTCCATTGTTTCCTAATTTTTTACAGTAAATGCGCAACGCAATGATTTTGGAACAAGCTGTGTTCGTAGAGTTTTCAAAATGCGATTATATTTTACATCCGATTACATCAGATTACGATTACATCCTTGATTTTTGAGTTTGCCAGAACCGTTGGCACTTGAGTTAATATCCTTCGTAGATGAGAGATTTATTTACGTAACACTTATTGTATTCGGGGCACGAATGATACCAAAAGATTATGTGCTAGAGGCCCGGGTTCAAATCCAGCTAATCACCATTTAATGTATTGTAGTAATATCATGACCTGTGGTTCTCAGCCTCTTTTAGTTGTAGGTTTACCTATCCAGACCCAAAAAAGGACGTCTCTGAAGAATATTTTTCTCTCTGTTGGAGAACTTCCTCCGCTATACTTTGTATCAAGGAACCTGTCACCTGACCCACCTGGAACTGGCCCGGGTCTTAAACCATAGGTCAGTCCCAGTTAGACATCTGTCATGAGCGGTTCCATCATACAGAATACAAAAGCAACCCCTACAATTAAGATTTTGAACAAGAACATAAAGTTATTCTAGTTAAAACTGCAAAGCGTACAAGGCACATTGCACTTTCGTACGTTACCCAGTAGATCGT